GATCTACTGAATCCATACTGTCTTTGCGTTAGGAAAAGTAACGTTCCCAGGCAGATAAGTGATTTGCTCTTTGAAAATAAAAGCGAATCGCTCTCTTTCGCTCACTTTGGTACATGTATTGGCGTGACAATTGTCTTAAAAAGGCAAGGGTAGATTTCATCTTCGCTTTCGAGAAAGAAGAGGCCAAAATGATGAAGCACAAGCGAGAATCCACACCGGTTTTCATAGCCTTCTCCCATAGCACCTTCTGTGGGGAGGGGGTGTCTGTACACAGGCCTTTCATCGTTTTTATGGGGTCAGATTTTTCACAATAATAACAATTTTCCAAGTTGAAATCTGTCCAATATCCCGTCTGAATGATTAGTAAAAATGACAAAGTTAGTTTTTCGGTCAATCATGTGCCGATCGCTATCACTACATTACAATAAAAATACTCTCGCCTCACATGCCCGTACATGCGCTACGTAAGAGGCATGTGAGCTTTGCGCAAAAGGATTACAACAGTATTTTGAAAACTGACTCTTTTTCTTACACTTTGAGTTCAGTTACATTTTTTCAAAAGGGGAATCCCACAACCGACGCTGTGCTTTTATTAAATTTTATTCTTTTCACAATTTCAGCCTCAGGTTTATTCTTAAAGTTTCGCAAATTTAAGCCTCGGTATTCTTATGATATATTTTCTCATAAAAAGCAAGGAGTGTATTTATGTCCCGCGTATTTTCTGTCACACTATTATAAAAATAATAATTTAAGAGAGAAAAAGAAGATACTAAGATTGTGTTTTCACTGGGACAATTTTAACTAGATAAAGCCGGAAAAGTCCGGAAATACAGTGAAGACACCTCATCTTAGTAAATGCAATCTGTTTTCACAGGCAAAAACAAGGGATTTTGACGCCCTTGAATACGAGCGGAAATTCATGCTAAACACCGCAGCCAATCAGGTCGCGTGTAGTGACAGACGCCTGCCAAACGGTAACATTATTTTCCAGACAATTGCCTCGTGGTTGAGCTTGAGAGATTCAAATGGCAAACGATTCCAGCAGTCATTTCGTTCAATTTACAATCCCACTGACCCCACTGGATTCTCTATTTCTTCAGCCAGGTCCTTAAACCAAACTTCCTCATTTGTAAGGACATAAGCCACATTCGCAGAATAAAACTTTTTCTCCTTCGCAAAAATAATCACAAGAGAAGTCAAATACTAGCTCTTCGTCCCCTTTCATTTTTTTTTTATGGGGCCCTTTTCAATATTGAATCCTCTGAGTTAGCGGCTTAGATTGTGGGTTAAATTTCACAGTGACAACAGTTGTCACAATTAACTAGTAAAACTCTAGAAAGAATGTTCAGCTATCGGCCTGGTGAAAACACAGCCTAAAACAATGAAAATTTTTGCCAAGTTATAGGTCTTTAAAGAAAGCAACAACTCATCCTGTGAAAACTTGATACATTAAAAGCAAGGCTTAATGTGATAAAAAAAGGACTGCTCAGGAAGCAAAATTTCAAAAGATAAGTCATTTGTTATCCTACGTGACAGAGCTTCTATTGTCATACTCCTCCATCACCAAACGAAAAACCCTAACGAGCTGAAGAATTGAAAAATATATTAAAGTGCTGAGTTTTTGGAAGCACTGACTGAGTGTTTAGAAGCACTATTGATTACGTCACATGGAAACAGAACTGTAGAATACACCGGCTTCAATCTGGGTCACGTTTCTAAAGCAAAAGCGATTCATGCGCGCGATCCCGTTCTCGTGAACCTTAATATTTCCCCCTTTTCCTTCGCCTTAAAACGCCTGCTACGCTTGCTAGCTGTGAATTTTTAACTGGAATCAAGGTATACGCATGACTCCTCTCCACTCTGTACCTCTGGTACCAGGCAGAGTAGAACCTAAGCGCTTTTACATTATATTTGCTCATTCCACCGTCAACTTCGAACTTTGTGCAATTGGCCATCCACCTCAAATAATTTCATTCAGTTAACTGCAAAAATGCCTATTGGAAGAGAAATTTACCGTAAAATATTTGGTAAACAAGTTAACCCTTCTAAATAGTTTTGCACCTTCGCACAAAAGACCATCACAATAACTAACTTTGGACGAGCGATCTTCATAGGGTTAATACGCCGAGCCTAAAGCCCTTAACACTAGTAAGTTTTACTTACATAAAGAATTTGCTTTAGCTTAACTTTGATATCTAAGGTCCCGGTATCTTATTGTGAGGCGGTTGTTAATGAACCCTTGAGCAGAGGCCCTTCGTTTATCCTAGACAAGTCTTTTGAAAGGCCGCTGCTCACAGGATATTGAAGATGGCGTTTTGTACCTTTTCATAATTAACTGGAATGATCTGGAATATCCTCGTGCTTAGTTAGATTGAACCAGCAAAGCTGCATTACTGAATTTACCTTGTAAATGGTAGATATACTGGGGTAAGCTGTGTACTGAACTCCTGCAAAGAAAGTAATACAGCATCAAACAGTTAACATTTGCGCTATGCTGCATTGTTCAAATAATAAGTTACCAAGACATTAGATGAAAGGGTTTTCAAGACCTCCGCTTTCGTTCTTTGAATATTAAAGTTAAGAATCGCCGTTAAATAGCGAGAAAAATACTCACTTGTTTACTCCATGGAGACTTGGTGAAAAAGGACTTCAAGTTCTCTTCTTTCAAAATTTGTCTTGATCTTGTGACTCGGTATGTGTCAGTATAAAAAAGGATTCTTTGCTAAAAGTCCTCGTCTGGAAAAATGTTTGCTTTTGCGTTATAACGCAAGTCTGCGGGAAAAGTGCCGTTTTCCATGTGTCTTCAGTTTAATGACTGATTGTTCGGAGCTCTCTATTTTGTCTTTCATGCGAGAGATGTTATTACAATAAACCACTACTGAGAGAAATATACAACGAGCCTCCCGTCATTTCAAATAAAAGAGCAAAATCGCTGGGAGATATCCTCGTTAGAGCAAAACCATAAGGTTACGTATCACACTATCACGAGCTTATGAGTTGTGTTTGGCTTGTCAAGACCTTCCACCTATCTCTGTGCACTTGATAAACATGTAATGGTGGATCCTATGCCAGCGCCATTAGAATCGGGTAAATCCCCACAATTAGTAATAATACGATTTAAATACCTCAATCAAAGCAAAATTCCGCTATAATCAGCGTTCTTATAGGAATCTTGAGGCTTCAAAGTTTCTTGTACGGCAGCAATTGAGGATGCTGCCGCCATGTTTGTACAAAAGGTGCAAAGCATGATGGACTAAAGAGCCACCCACGACCCACCCCCTAACCGGAGATCAGGCTCAATTTTCGTTTTGCTCTGTAATAACATTCTGGTGGGCAAGGCGTAATGAAAACAATTTTAGCAGTAGCGGTTAGAGAGATTGTATGAAACACTAAAATTGGGCCTGATCTCAGGTTACCCACCCCCTGACAGATGGTCTTGATCAATGATCACTGAATCGTGAACGAAAATTAGAAGTCGTGTTGAAAGTTTTTAAGGTCGAGTTTGAAATATGACTCGGCAAGTGTAATTTGATGAAGCGAGTTGAAAATAAGCGGTGAATAAGGTCAAATAAAAGAGTTGAGTTTAAAAAATAAAAGAGGAATGTAAAAACATTTTCCAATGATGCGAAATCTGAAGGAAGAGTGTAAAATTTTCTAGTTGGCTATAAAATTCAAGTAAAAATTTAAATGATGAATTTAAAAGTCAAAAAATGAATTTTGGCGGGGATCGTACACCAAAGGGGTTATCAGCCGCTTACTGAGACCCTGATTATTCTGGATATCACAAAAACCGAATCTAATAATTGTTTTATTATACGTTGAACAAATCCTTTCTTTCTCCCTTCTACATAAAATGTTTTCAAAGTTTGTGCCAACTCCTTCTTTTCCTCAGGTTCTCTCAGTTTTTTCGCTTTCACGTAATCAGCAAACAGCTCCTTTGCCACATTCATCGACCTTTTTGTGTCTGTGAGTCCTTGCCTTCAACTACTTTTTCGATGTCTTGTTAGGTCAATGAAGCAAACCTGGAAGTTCTGTTTTTGCTTCTTCACTGATGGCAAGCAACACAAAGCCCGCAAACTTGACATGATTGCCCTTAATTACCCATGACCTTGAGTGTCCTTGACATGATTATTGTATAATCTGCAGCTAGATGACGTCCCAGGTGCTGATTTCGAAAATTCACTGTACGCTTGGCCAATTAGAAAAGAGATAGTGAGTTGAAGGTATAATAATTAGAATAACACGTGTCGAACAACCTTTTGCACTCCATAAGTCTCTGCAGAAATAACATCTTTTTCTATAATATATTTTTTGAATATTCTTGACGAGCTGTGTCTAATCTGACAGGCATGTTGGTGGCCTGAAGACACCCTTATTATTTTTCCTTTCTTAAAAACGCTCTATTTTTCTGAATCTTAATCATCATGGGATATAACCCTAAAACTTGGGTCAAGACCTAGATGAGCAGTTAATCTTGACTGATACAGGGCCTGTACGAGATCCAAGCCAAGATTTAAAGTGTTACTATCATGAATAATATTATTACTTTTGGCTATTTTTCCAACTGTGGTCTTCAATCTAGACGTTCATTGCCCTAAGTGTATACTTTTTGTTGTAATTGTTTTGACAGTTGTGCCCAGTTCTTGAGAATGACGTTCTTTCTACGAGTATTATTTTGACACTCATTTTACAGATAACGTTGCCAATGACAGACAAACAGTGATTATGACCTAATGTCTCCTACCAGAAAAATGCAATTTTCCAAGGAAACAGGGATGAACATATTTCGTTACATTTTTTCCCTAAAACCAAATAGTTGTAACCCACAGGGTTTCTTACATGTAGTTTGTTTGGTTGTTATTAGCTATACCCTGAAAACTTTATGTACGAAAAATAAACGGATTATGATCCACAAGAACAAGACATGGATGTTTAACTAACCAGCATCAACCTCGACTTCATTCAAAGATTTCCCAATGGCTTGATGGATGTTTCCCTCATCAACTAGTGCCAATATTTTGCCGACTTTTGCCAGCTCCAGACTCGATGAGTCTATAATATTCCCTGTGTACTCTGATGTCATGTCCCATGTGTCGCGCCAGTCCATCCAACTCTTTCTCTTGGAGGTCTAACAGTGAGGAAACCGTCACAACATACTTTCTATGGCAGGTACTTGTTATCAAATTAGGTTCTTTTAATTTAACCCCTCGACACTGTTTTGTCAGACAGTCCCTGTGGCGAATGTGGTATGGGTAAAGAAAAACCTGTTGTTTGGATTGGTGTTGGCCTCGTCTTTTCTTGAGTAAGATCTCCATTGCTTCTTTGATGTCTGGCATTAACAGCTGTGGGAGCTCACGTCCGCTTTTGCCTTCAGTCTCAACCATATCCATCCTGCAAAGGATACATATTATAAATACAGTTAAATCAAAATGAGAAAGGGCAAAATTGGTCCATCTTTTTCTGTTAGATTAATATTGACAGTAATCTGGTGTACACCCTTTATCCTGGTGGAAGTTTCCTAAGAGCATTGATTCCTCAGACAGTCCCCATGGCGAATGTGATTAATTGAGTCCTCAGACGGGCGGGCAAAGAAAAACTTGTTTAGATTGATATTGGCCGCGTCTTTTCTTGCCTAAGACCTCCATTGTATCTTTTATATCAGGTGTTTACAGCACTGGGACCTTACATCCCCTTTTGCCTTCAGTCTCTAGCATATACAAGGATACAAAGGGCAAAATATTAAATTGGTCGATCTTTTTCTCTTAGATTGATATGGGCAATAATCTGGTATGCACCCTTTACCCTGCTGGAAGACTTCTTAGTACGTTGATTAATATTTTTGTTAAATTGTTGGCAATAAGCGTAATCTAGTCTAGCAGTTGGTGATAGATTTGTAAGTGTATCTTATGACTGTGCATGTATTCGAAGATGTCTGCAATGTCTGAATGTGTTATTACTTTATACCTCTTACACACTTCCTTCTCAATTGGCTATAGACAATCTTCAATACCTTTTGTTGCTGATTTTTTCAGCACCTTCTTGGTTATGGAATGTTATAACCTGGCAAAGGATTATTTCAGCTAACTCGCCCCAATTCTGAATTGGTGGTGGAGCTTTTAAGGTTTCTGTACAAGTGACAATCTTGTGAACAGGATGTTTTCACAACACCTCCAAGTCTTCAGTAACTGGGAGATCTGGCTTGTTAAGTTCCTCTTGTAGAGTGTTCCTACTGAGTGATATGAGATGTTGTCACTCCATTCAGATCCCATAAGCTTTTCGAGATTGTCCATGTCTTCTTGCAGCACTTGGTCTTATTCTCTCAAAGCCTTTCCTCTTTGGATGGTCATGTACTTATTTATGGCATGGCCTAACTTCAGCGCAAGGGATGGTATTCCCACTAACTTTGCTGATGATTCCTCAAAGTTGCAAATCTCTCCCAGCATAAATTTCTCACCTCTAGTTTCGTCCAGAACTCCACTTTGATGGGATCACCTAACCAGTCCCAGCAGTTATCAATTGGCAGGCGTCTTTGCCAAAAACTTCCGCTTTCTAGTAGGGGTTTCCAAGACGTTCCATTTAATTGCCGTGACAATAGATAGGTTTTCACACTGTGAAGTTAAATCAAGGAAACAATGAGGCCGGTTAAACAAAAACAAGACAAGAATACCTACAAACAACAGACTCAAGACTCAAAACAGAAACAGCTGCATAAAATAATAATAATATGGAACAAAATACACTAATAAACAAAAGAACCCAGGTTTATAGAAAGAAGTCAATCTGCTATTCTACTTTTCTCATAGGTTAAAGGCAAATGCTTCATATACAGTGTATGTCGGATTATTTTATATACTCTAAAGCATTTGTTTAGTTTACTTGGCATTTTCCTCCATAAAGCTTAAGCTTAACCTAGTGTGTCTTTTTTTAATAATTACTGCATATAGAAAACATTTACAGTGCACCAATACCAACTTTTGCGGTGCAAAATACATAATTACAATTTGTTTGTAAAAGGCAAATTAAAATGAATTTTACACAAATAAGAAATAAAGTGAAAAACACTGCTAACAGAAGTAAACATGCTTATTTTACAATTTGTCATTCTCATTTGCTAGACTTGTGTTTAGTCAAATCAAACTTTAGACTCAACATTTTGTTGGAAATTCAAAACAGAGCTGGAACCTTTCAAACTAAAGAAGATGTAGGAAACATAACTGATATGGGCACACGAGAAAGAAAAAAAATTCACTCCCAGGACCAGCTGTCAAGAAACAGGCCTCGACAGAAGCCAGTAGCAGTCAAAACACTAAACGGCAAGGTTTTTATAAGGCTCAAGGAGAGCATTGGCTAACAATACTCAAGTTATGCCAAGTGCTTTCACAGCACCCCTTCCTACCACTTCCTTTTGGTAGGCATCAGATTCATGTTTTATTTGTTCATAGCAAAAAGGTTAAGCAAGACTTCCACCTCCAGAATAACTGTTAAGTATATTTGTTTTTGTAATTTGTAAATTAATTTGTTTATTTGTGTAATTTATTTTGTGTTAATTAACATGGAACGCCATAACTGCCTTCAGTATTCACGCTTAATTTTATTCTATTGGGTGCTTTTTTCCAGTAAATCATGTGATGATTTTATCATTATATAGTAGTAAATGTAGAACTTGTGAAATGACACTGACTGACGTCAACAAGATAAAGGAAATTTTTTTTTACTTTTAAAGTTGAAGTTACATCATCTGAATGAACACATAATCCATTAGAAAGAGGAACAGAAAATTAGGGGGCCAGACTCGTAACCTTTTTAATCATCAAAAAAGTTATTTTGCTCTTGTTCCAAAGCTTAATATCGCTTTGATTCCACTCAAATACATCACCAAACATCATTTCCAGGATCAATGGGACCATAGACAAACTTAGAGGAAATTTGAAATTTTGAGCCAAAATCATAGGCTTACCCCTTTGGAAAACAATAAAGATGGCGGCCGGCTAGTTATAATCCGCAAATATGGTCAACACACCTTCCAGGACCATTTTGACCATACACACACTTAGGAAAAGTTGAAAAACTTGACCCGATATCCCTCTGGATGAAAAATTCAAAAAAGCCCCAAAAAATTATTTTCATTGCAAGAGAAGTCAGCGGCTTCTTGTGGTACATCACCACTGAGGGGTTCTACAGAATAACCTATTTCTTGATCAGTTTTACTACCCACATTCACAAGGTGTCTGTCGTTGTTTGTAAGATCGTCATGTTTTGAGGAAGACCCTGCGGGATCATTTGAACAGTTATTTTCAAAATATGAATCACTTTGCATATTATCAAATGTACCTTAAAAGGACCAAGAGGGTCTTTGAGATTTTATGGGAGAAAAATGTGTTGTGATTTGCCATATTTTTTCAAATGCGTAAATATCATTCAATGTTACTTCTTTAGTAATGTTTTATTCCCCCTATAATAGGTGCAATTTTACACTTGCCTAACATGTAAACCATTCACATTACACTGTTTGATGTGTAAATGGACCCTCCAGTTGCGTGTCAAATTGTACTATTGGACAATGTGTAATAATACACTCAAAAACAAGGCATCCGGGGCTGGCAAAGGTACTACAGTATTATTCCGTGTTATATTACTGTTCTATTGGTATTTAGGTACTCTTAAAAGATGTGAAGTTTTACACTAGACCAAGGTGCATACCATTCACATTACACTGATTGGTGTGTAAATATAACCTCTAGTTGTGTGTTATATTACACTATTATACAATTTGTAATAATACAGCGGGGCTGTCAAAGATTTAACACTTTTTTGGGGGTGATGTTACACTTTAATTTTAAGTGCAGAAATTCACGAGGGAGAGCATCCTCGCCTTTCGACGATTTAATGGGAAGATATCCTTCAGTTTAATTTCCCAACTATTCTTTAACTCATTATAAATAATATTAGTTTCGTATTAATAATGATTCCCGAGGACAACTTAATGCTTCAGTGGGGTAGTCCCAAGGGATTGATTGCCACAGCTCGTGTCTGATCCTTGACACATGAAGCGAACATTCTTACATTGCCATTAAAACAGGACCAACTTTTGCAGCGCAAAAGACATAAGTGCAATTCTTTTTGTAAAAGGCAAATTAAAATGAAATTCACACAAATCAGAAATAGAGTGAGGAATGCTGCTAACAGAACTAAACATGCTTATTTTACAATTTGTCATTCTCATTTACAGTATTTACTAGATGTTTTTCTCTAACGATATTTCAATATTTACATTGTCTGTGTGTTTTTTCTTCTTTTTGTGAGTCTTGGGTTGAAGTCGATGTAGTGAATGGATGTGGCGGTGACTTGTCAAAAACTGTGGTGTCTCTTGATACATGGCAAGAAACACGTGGGGATTGAAATTAAATTCTACAGTCTTGACACATCCAAAAAGCAACCAACAATTTTTTATTGTTCAGTGACAAGTATTTACAAGCTAATAAGCTGACATAAAATGACTTGTTCAAAACAGTGTTTTAAATATTTACACCGTAAAAAAGGTGTTTTTAGGAAGTAATTACCAAATTGTTTTATTGATCACAATATAATTTATAATTCAAAATGAAATCTGCTGTTAATCATTAAGGGCCAGACCTAACGTCATTTTCACAACAATAAAAGGCTGTACTGGCAGGGTAAGATTTCGATGCTACTTAAACGTTTCTTTTTCTTTTTAAATGTTCTGCTTTTTTTACCGTTTATCATTATTGACATAAACATAAACATTTGTATTTGTATCATTTGTTTTTACGGGTTTTACCTTCTCCTCCTGTTCCTCCAAAGATGATAGTAACTGGAACTCGGATTCATCCTCTTCTTCTTAGGAATCCATCTTTTTTTTTTAGTACATGGTGTTTGGAAATGCATATTCGTAATATGATGATGACGATTTGAGGAAGGAGTTAAACAGATGCAAGATATATGTAGTGTGGGGGTGATTATATGAATTGTTGAAGAGGTGATGATTATAATAATGGTGATGGTGGTCGCATAAAAGTTAAGCCTGGTTGTGGGATTGCCACGCATTTACCTGGAACTGTTTGCTTGGAAATGGATTCACAGTCAAGGAATTCCACAGCTCCTAAAGGTTGGTTGAAGGAGGGGAAGCAGCCAGGATTGTATCTTTTGTTCACTCCAGTGTAATGGTGAAACTTTGAGATTTAGACCATACTTCTTACTGTACTCTAGGATGACCATTGGGAAGGCATCGTGAAAAGCTTGCTCATCAAATATTGGACCCAACAGCTCATGAAAAAATGTAAAAACTTTGTTGATCCATCTCTGGAGTGCTCAGGTAAAAGATTTCGATCCCACCTTGACTGTATATTAGATAATTGATAATTCA